GTTTATAGTAATTCCTGAGAAGCAGATCGGAACAGTTATGACGTAGACAGTAATCGTTCTAATCGTAATCATTTTTATTGACCATAACAACGATGAAAGCACATCATATAAGTACGTTTTGACATCATACAATGAAGTAAACCGAACCACATCATATAATGTTACAAGCACATCATATAAAGATGTTTGCAAATAATATAAGGGAAAATGCACATCATATAAGGATATTTGCACATCATATAAATATATTTGCACATCATATCAGTATCTTTGCATATCATATAAGGATCTTTGCACTTCATATAAGTACATTTGCACATTATATAAGTATATCTGCACATCATATAAGGATATTTGCACATCATATAAGTACATTTGCACATCATATAAGTATGTCTGCACATCATATAAGTATATTTGCACATCATATCAGTATATTTGCACATCATGTTAGTATATTTGCACATCATGAAAGGATGTTTGCACATCATGTAAGGATATTTGCACATCATATAAGGATATCTGTACATCATATAAAGGTGTTTGCGCATCATATAATGACAAGTGCACATCATATAAAGGTAAATGCACATCATATAATGAAAATCGGCATAACAAGACAGTTGTGGCGTTCCATAGCAGCGCTTTGATCACTTTCATAAGGCAACAAGAATGTGTCCATAGTACACGGATGCCCCACTCGCACTATCATTTTCTATGTTCAGTGGACCGTGAATCTGGGGTCAAAACTATAATTTGGCATTAAAATTAGAAAGATCATATCAAAGGCAAAATGTGTACTAAGTTTCAAGTTGATTGAAAAACAACTTCATCAAAAACTACCTTGACCAAAAACTTTAACCTGAAGCCGGACAGACGGACGAACGGGCGAACGGAGGACGAACGGACGGACGGACGAACGGACGCACAGACCGAAAAACATAATGCCCCTAGGTGGGGCATAAAAATAAACGCTATTGGGGTTTGAGTTCATTAATGACCAATATATGAAATATTGGGTTTTGAGTTCATGGATGGGAATACAGCTCACTTATCATTCACACACGATCAGCTGTCCAATACAATCAACATATACGATCATCTGTTCAATACAATCAACACATACGATCAGCTGTCCAACACAATCAACACATACGATCAACTGTCCAATACAATCAACACATACGATCACCTGTCAAATACAATGAACACAAACGATCAACTGTCCAATACAATGAACACAAACAATCAGCTGTCCAATACAATGAACACACACGATCAATTGTCCAATACAATCAACACATACGATCAGCTGTCCAATACAATCAACACAAACAATCAACTGTCAAATACAATGAACACAAACAATCAGCTGTCCAATACAATGAACACAAGCGATCAGCTGTCCAATACAATGAACACATACGATCAACTGTTCAATACAATGAACACATACGAACAACTGTCCAATACAATCAACACATACGATCAGCTGTCCAATACGATGAACACAAACAATCAGCTGCCCAATACAATGAACACATACGATCACCTGTCCAATACAATTAACACATACGATCAGCTGTCCAATACAATGAACACAAACGATCAACTATCCAATACAATCAACACATACGATCAACTGTCCAATACAATCAACTCAAACAATCAACTGTCGAATACAATCAACACATACGATCAGCTGTCCAATACGATGAACACTAACAATCAGCTGCCCAATACAATGAACACATACGATCAACTGTCCAATACAATTAACACATACGATCAGCTGTCCAATACAATGAACACAAACGATCAACTATCCAATACAATCAACGCATACGATCAGTTGTCAAAAACAATGAACACAAACGATCAACTGTCCAATACAATGAATACAAACAATCAGCTGTCCAATACAATGAACACAAACGATCAGCTGTCCAATACAATCAACACATACGATCTACTGTCCAATACAATGAACACATACGATCAGCTGTCCAATACAATCAACACATACGATCAGCTGTCCAATACAATGAACACATACGATCAGCTGTCCAATACAATGAAGACAAACGATCAACTGTCCAATACAATCAACACATACGATCAACTGTCCAATACAATCAACTCAAACAATCAACTGTCCAATACAATCAACACATACGATCAGTTGTCCAATACAATCAACACAAACAATCAGCTGTCCAATACAATCAACACATACGATCAGTTGTCCAATACAATCAACACAAACAATCAACTGTCCAATACAATCAACACATACGATCAGCTGTCCAATACAATGAACATAAACGATCAGCTGTCCAATACAATGAACACATACGATCAACTGTTCAATACAATTAACACATACGATCAGCTGTCCAATACAATGAACACAAACGATCAGATCAAGTGTATTTTACAGAAACCAAATAATGAAAAAGTATCATGAATTAGTTAATTTAACACCAAAACACAACGTCTGCTCAAGTTGAAATATCTAAGCGAAGTCCATGTGCTCTTTTTGGCATAATAATTACCCTAACGGATTTCTTGAATAATAACTTTAAAAACTTTAAGTTTCAAACTCACTGCTTACAACAAATACCAATCAACTATATATTGGGTCAATTTGTAAATAAAAATGTCTTCCTTGTTATCGAAATTTAATCTTAATTTTCTTAGCAGTATTTCGGTTGGGAACAAAACTAAACGACAAAAGAGATGATTTCAACTTCCCAATTGTGAACCCCTCATTTCTACGTAACAACATTCTAGAAGCCTGATATGGAGTATATATCTTACAGTTGATACAATATTCCACATTGCATTTCCTATCATGATTTTCTTAATAGACGGAATCTGCTTATGATGCTTATGAGGAAGCTATTGAACCAAGGGTTCCCAGTGGTAAAGTTGAAGTCATCTTTTCAAAAGTTAAACGGACGTTATCACGACTTGGTTGACCGTTGTGGAATATTTGTGTCCACAGACGACCACGGATATGTTCCAAAAGTTGTTTTCACAATCCCGTCCTGTATTCCTCGATTGTGACATCACCAAATGAGACTTATCACCAAAATTTTACTTATGCCGTTAGCAACATGAATTTTGCTATTAGTGGAGCAGGATCTGCCTACTCTTCCGGAACACCTGAAATAATCCCCAGTTTTTGATGGAGTTCAGGTTGCTCAGTTTATAGTTTTATATGTAGTGTTTTGTGGACTATTATAATTGTTACACTTCTATGAACATTTATGGTCCAACTTTCTGTCGATACCTATACTTTGGCATTGCAGAAGATCATGTTTTCTCTGATTGTTAATGACGTCTTTACACAAAATTCATTGAATGTTGGATATATACTGATAGATATTCTAGTCTACAATACATGATTTATTCTATTCGTGGTTACTGGCTTTGAACTAGCTTTCAGTAACTGCGAGTGGTCAGATCTGTACTATGTCTTTAGTGTTTTTGTTAGTTGTTTTTGTGCTTTGTATCGATTTGATCAGTTAATCCCTTTTCAACTTATCTTTATAGTTTGTTCTTATGTTGTGTTGTTACACCACTGTCCCAGGTCAGGGGTAGGGCCGCCACATCCTGTATGTACCTGTCCCAAGTCAGGGGTAGTTAACCCCGCCACATCCTGTATGTGCCTGTCCCAAGTCAGGGGTAGTTAACCCCGCCACATCATGTATGTGCCTGTCCCAAGTCGGGGGTAGTTAACCCCGCCACATCCTGTATGTGCCTATCCCAAGTCAGGGGTAGTTAACCCCGCCACATCATGTATGTGCCTGTCCAAAGCCAGGGGTAGTTAACCCCGCCACATCATGCATGTGCCTGTCCCAAGTCAGGGGTAGTTAACCCCGCCACATCCTGTATGTGCCTATCCCAAGTCAGGGGTAGTTAACCCCGCCACATCCTGTATGTGCCTGTCCCAAGCCAGGGGTAGTTAACCCCGCCACATCCTATATGTGCCTATCCCAAGTCAGGAACATGTTATTCAGTAGTAGTCGTCTGTTGCTGTATTTCATGTTTGTTTTTCGTTTATAGTTTTGTACATAAATTAGGTCGTTATTTTATATCGTTTGAATTGTTTTACATTTGTCATTTCGGGGCCTTTTATAGCTTCCTATACGGTATGGGTTTGCTCATAGGTGAAGGCTGTGCGGCCATTTGGTCTCTGGTGTAGAGTTGTCTCATTGGCAATCATACCACATCTTCTTAATTCTATATTGGTTGTCTTTTCGTCGTCCTTCGTTTTTTGCCATGGTGTTGTCAGTTTTACTTCGACTTACGAGTTTTTAATGTCCCTTTGGTATCTTCCAACTCTTATACAAATGTGGAGATTAAGTACGATTGCAAATTGGCAAGGATTTAAGCAAATAAAGGTCACCATACGACCTTCAACACAACGAAGAAACCCATACCGTCTAGTATAGCTATAAAAGTCCCCAACTTGACCAGATGTATAACAATTCAAACGTGAAAGCTAATTAAGGGATTTCTGATTAAAGACATTACCTAACGATAACCACTGAATAATAGGCTCCTGACCTTGTCGTGTTTAACATGTTTGTGATCACTCAACCTTCGACAGTGTAACAGCACACCATAGGTAAGAATAAACTGCAAAACTCAGTTAGAAATGGCTAACTCAACAGATTGGTATGAAATACACAAAAAAACACTAACATAAAAATCAAAGAGGGGAGATAAAAAAAATTTCTAACGCATATTTGTTGCTAACATTGTTGTGCTAAATTTGAGACGATATATATATAAATTGTGGCGTTGGTCCTGTATAACCTAATGAGGGAAGTTGTCACATATTGTGACGTAGTCGTTCACGTATTGTATTTATTTGACCTTCCAAACGATGACCAGCTGCTATTCCTTCCAAACAATGACTCATCATTTTATAGATCTGTGTCGTGCGCATTGAAACCAGTATTATTTTCATATGAATTTAAAAACAAAGATTTGTAAGAAACACACACGATTTAATAACAACTAGGACAACGCAGCAGCTTAACATATATACATGATAACAATTATCACCAGTGTCTCAACAATAAAAAAGATGATCTCTCAAAATGGATTTAAATGTGCCCAAAATGTCTCAATAAATTTATGATTTGTCTAAGAATCTTTTTTACACTCGTCGTTATCATCGTTTTTGTTACAATCTTTATCATAATCTCCATTGCCTCCGCTTCCACCACTGCCGCCACCACTACCTCCTCCGCCACCACCACCACCTCCGCCTCCGCCTCCTCCGCCACCGCCACCGCCTCCGCCTCCGCCTCCACCTCCTGCTCCTGCACTAGCACTAGCTATTGCTACTGCAGCTGCATTTCGTAAGTCGTCATTGCCAGAAGTCAACATCCAAGCAAGTCCTTGGTTTCCACCAGCCAAAGCTAAGGCGTAAGCAGAAGCAACAGCTTCTGCGTCTGCGCCTGCCATTGCAGCAGCAGCGGCGGCAGCGGCAGCTGACGCTGATCCTCCACCACCTCCAGCAGCTGCAGCGGCGGCAGCTGCTGCTGCTGCTGCGGATCCTCCACCTCCATTATATCCACTCCTTCCTGCAGCGGCAGCCGCAGCGGCAGCAGCAGCTGCTGCGGATCCTCCAGCTCCACGCCATCCCCCACCTCCTGCAGCGGCAGCCGCAGCGGCGGCAGCAGCTGCTGCGGATCCTCCAGCTCCACGCCATCCTCCACCTCCTGCAGCGGCAGCCGCAGCAGCGGCAGCAGCTGCTGCGGATCCGCCAGCTCCACGCCATCCACCACCTCCTGCAGCGGCAGCCGCAGCGGCGGCAGCAGCTGCTGCGGATCCTCCAGCTCCACCCCATCCACCACCTCCTGCAGCGGCAGCCGCAGCGGCGGCAGCGGCTGCCGCACCAGATCCTCCACCATAACCACCAAGGAATTTTCCACCATATCCACCGCCACCTCCAGCTGCAGCAGCGGCTGCAGCAGCTGCTGCAGATGCACTTCCACCACGTCCAGAATATCCACCCTTACGGCTACCTCCAGCTGCAGCTGCAGCGGCTGCCGCTGCAGCTGCAGATCCACTACCACCACGTCCTAACCATCCACCATATCCACCCCCACCTCCAGCTGCAGCCGCAGCAGCTGCTGCTGCTGCTGCAGATGAACCTCCACCACCTCCTAGCCAATTCCACCATCCACCACCTCCACCTCCGCCCAAAGCTGCTGCTGACGCTGCTGCAGCGGCTGCTGCGGCTGCTCCTCCAGCTCCTGATCCTGCTCCAGCTCCAGCACCAGCTCCAGCACCAGCTCCAGCACCTGCGCCTGCTCCTGCACTAGCACTTGCACTAGCACTTGCACTAGCTAATGAACTGACCAATTGTGATCCAAGATTTACTAATACTGAGAGTAGTCCTTTGAGATCGTCATCATCATCATCTCCGTCACTACTGTCATCGCTACTATTACTATCATTGCTGTCACTGTCTCCATTGCTGTCAGTGTCTCCATTGCTGTCAGTGTCTCCATTGCTGTCAGTGTCTCCGTTGCTGTCAGTGTCTCCATTGCTGTCTGAACTGCTACTGTCTGAACTATCTGAACTGTCTGAACTGTCTGAACTATCTGAACTCACATCTCCATCACCTCCTGCTCCGTCACCAGCTCCAGCTCCTGCACCTGCACCTGCACCTGCACCGGCACCGGCACCGGCACCTGCACCTGCAGCAGCTGCAGCGGCAGCCGCTGCAGCTGCAGCTGCACCTGAACCTGAACCTGCACCTGCAGCAGCTGCAGCGGCAGCCGCAGCAGCTGCACTAGCACCAGCTCCGGCACCAGCTCCAGCACCAGCACCAGCACCACTCCATGCCCAATCCCAGCCACCTTCATCACTTGAATCACTGTCGCTACCGCTACCGCCACCGCCACCGCCGCCGCCTCCACCACCACCACCGCCGCCGCCGCCGCCACCACCGCCGCCGCCACCACCGCCACCGCCGCCGCCGCCACCTAGACCCCAGTAGCCTCCAGCACCACCGGCGGCTGCAGCAGCACTAGCACTAGCACTAGCACCAGCACCCCCTAGCAACCATCCTAGTCCGTATTCGTCTCCTCCGAATAAATAATCGAAATAATCTTCCCAGTAATCTCCTGATTTATCGCCACCAGCTGTAATATAAAGTTTAAAAATGAAATCATCTGCATTATCACCACCATAAAAAGTCAAAGGTATCATAGCTGGCTGATAGAACAGTAAAGTAAAAAAATATTATTGCACCTGGAATTAAAAAACGAAAGACAAATAAACAGGTACCAGTTATCAAACATTAAATATTTCATTTATCATTGGTATTCCTTATGACCTTGAAATATAGTAATGAAAGAAACGTAATTTTTCAATTAACAGAATAAAACAACTAACTGTAAAATTTGAAAATAAGGAGATGTGGTATAATTGTCAATGAGACAACTATCCACCAGAGATCAAAGGACGAGGATGTACACTATATCTATATTGCATTATACGGTCTTCAACAATGAGCAAAATCCATTCCATTATAGGGGCATGACAAAGTGTGAAACAATTTAAAAGAGAAAATCAACGGCCTGGTTAATGCTAAAAATAACAAGCGAAAAACAAAATGGCGGCCGGCTACCAACGACAACCACTACAAAAAACATGTTAAACATATTTGAGGGCGCTCTACACTCTTATTATCTAAAACAGTGGCTGGACAGCACAACACAAGAACAAACTAAAAAAAATCATTCGGAAAAGGGCATGGTCCATCAGATTGGCTCTAAGCAAAAAAAAAAAAACAAAAAAAAACAACATACAAAATGACAAAATAAAAAAACAAAAAAACACAAGGTACCTATCTAAGAATACTAGCCATTACAACCTATCTAAGAGTACTAGCCATTACAACCTATCTGAGAGTACTAGCCATTACAACCTATCTAAGAGTACTAGCCATTACAACCTATCTAAGAGTACTAGCCATTACAACGTTTTGTGTTCCAATTCATCAAAAATAAACTCAATGTCAGCGCCTATGAAGACAACAGTCAAATATTCACTACAGTGGCAAACCGACAACCCTTTAAAATAAGTTTGCTACTAAAAAGATCAATGAGTCCAAATGGATGGTATTCATATAAAAAAGCTCTACAAAAAGGCCTCCACATGTACGGTTAAACCTCCACACTAATCATCGTGTTTGTGAAAGAATTTAGCAGCGAAATCCCTTGCCCCAGAATTTACCAGTTATATAGTATTTATCACTTACCCCACAATTCATCAATTATACGTACATATAGTTTATCCCTCAAGGTAACCAACAATTTACTTATTTCTCTAGGACATGTAAGTTTTGTATTACTTGAGCTTTCAAAATAAAGTGGGTAAGTAAGGACTATATTCTGCTAGGAGTATTAAAATTAAGGTATGAAGAAATCAAAATTGTGTTCTCAATACTTTCCTTAGATAGCCCAAATATACCAAAACCTTTTGAGGGACACCCACTTAAAACAAATTGCAACTTATATTTAATCGTGTTAGTCTATTTTTAGCAGCTGTGACATTGAACTTTCTGTGTCGACCGTGATGTTGTTTGTTGTTTTTGTGTTGTTTTGGTATTGGCTGTGGTGTTGTTTGTAACAACACCACAGCCAACACTAATGGTGTTGTTTGTTTAAAATATCACAGCCAACACTAAAAACAACAAACAACACCACATCCAACATAAATAAAACAAACAATTACACAGAAGACTAAAGATAAGAGTAACACGAATCCAACCTTGACCTTAAGAAGGTAAGCAATTATGATTAAATGTAACTACCTTTATCACCAACAAAAGATCACCTTTATTTTTGTAATTGGTACAAAGTATGATTAAACGTAACAACCTTTATTGCATTCCCAAATTCACTTATTGCTATAGTAGCGTTTTTGATTTAGTGTTGACTCGATAACGTATTTTGATCACCGGTCTGCAGATGTGAGAAATATGAAGCAAAGACCGTTCTTTGCAGGTATATAAATAAATGAAAAAAAATGCTCACAAATCCAAGTGTGTAGACAACTCCTACAGCAAACAAAACTTTTAACCACAAAACAAGATGCCGACCTATCCCAGCGTACAAAAAATAACTATAACATCAGTAGTGAAACAGATGTAAACAAATCCATATGCTTCTTACAAATTACTTCATGATAGCTTCAGACAAAATTTCCCCCGGAATAATAAATGAATTAAAAAAAAGGATAAAAAATTTCCCTTAAAATATATACGGTTGATATAAGTGTTATATCATAGTGAAAAATGTTGGCTGTATATATACTCACAAGGGTAACAGCAACAACGTCCTCTATTCCATACAAGTCCTACGTTACAGGAAAACGTCTGCCATCCTATTCCTTTTACGAGCGAAAGAAATTGTCCGGGTTTAGGCGCTGGTTTAAACCCACATTCTACAAAGGAATATGACATGTAGTAACAGAAATTTTCATTCAATAAAATCTTACTATTTATTTAATAGACATGAAAAATAGTTCAGATAATAAACTGTTGACACAGATATATGCCCCGGCTTTATGTATATTGATAGTCTAATGCAAATGTTGAAATTAGAATGGGAAATTTTTAAAAATGTAAACACTGCAAAACATTCAAAGTTAATAGACCATGGCTGGAGGGCGGGGCCAAATAATTTCCATGTTGGTGCCGCTGCCGCCAGAAACAGCACGCCTAAGTCTCCTTTTTCGATTTCGTTAAGGCGAGAGAAAAAAAATATTACTTCTAATAGTTTTGTATACAGTTTGTATTGTCGAAAAATAGTGACTTTCCATTTTCCCTAAAAAATGGGTTTCAGAAAGCTTCTTAAAATAACTCTTTCTTAAAACGAAATGAACAGTCACTTGTTCTCCAAATATTCATTAATTATTTAAATATTAGTAAATTTTATCAATCATTTATCCTTATTTCAATAACAGTCTTAATTGAACAATATAGAATTTTGTTAATTTTTTCAACTGTAGAATGCATACTGTTGACTAAATCCTTGTTGTGAATACTTGCAGGTTTACGAAATGAACTTATTCGAAGCTCTTGGACGTTTATTATTCATTGTTTAGAAGAAGAAGAAGAAGAAGAAGAAGAAGAAGAAGAAGAAGAAGAAGAAGAAGAAGAAGAAGAAAAAAAATGTGTTTGTCCGTCCCTTTTCAAGCTTTGCATCTGTAACTTTCCAAACTTGCAGTGTTTAGCATTCCTAACGAAGTTAACCTATCGGATACAACATATGTTTTGTACATTTCATTTTGATTTAACTAATAAGTACATTAATGGGTAATACTGACTGAACTTGGAAAGGATAGACCAGTAAATGTCACCTATGTCAAAACATGAAGATAAAACTTATTATTTATGTCATGATCCACAAAGTGAATACGGGTTGACATACTATGCATTTTATCAGGTAATGTAACTATATATAAAAATAAGTAGATGTGGTATGATGACTAAGTGTTAACCGGATGGGCGTACCTAGCGGGCGTACCCAATGGGCGTACTAAGAAAAAGGTGTAATATCTAAAGTACTCACTAGCGTATGCGCTTGTTACAAGGCCGAGCAGTGCAACTAAAATAAGTTGCCTCATTTTGAATAAACCCAGGTGGTGCTCTGAAATGAAATATAAATAATCTCATACTAGAAATAAAACACAGAAAACAAAATAAGAAAGTACGAACAATTGTTTAAATATGTTAAATCTCAAATTACACTAAGAACTACATAAATACACTAAGAATTAAATATTTTTTCAATCTAAAAATACTCTAGAAATGCATTATAACACGATGATAATGATAATATGAAACAATAGTAACGATAGTCCGCTCAATTAAATGCCATTTTATGGATTAATTTTTCTTGTTATTTATTTATCATGAAAATGGTTCAAGTTGATTTGAATTTGCTTTTTATTTTTCGGCGATTTGAATAATAAATTAAATTCACAGAAATGTAGTACATAGGAACAATTAATCGGAATCGTACAATTAAGGAAATATTTTTAATTATCCATTTAGCTGAAACATTGAAATATACAATAGTTCTATACAATTGAATTTCCTTTAATACTTACTGTAGGAAATTGGAGAGCACACCCGCTGTTTAAGTTTCGGAATGATATGAAAAAACCGAATGCGTGTTTATATATGGGTTCATCAGTATTCAACACGTGTAGTGCCCTCTGTTGGCATGAATTAAGCTCATATTGCATTCTAAATGTAAATAGGCGTTGTACAATGAAATCCTTTGACTGATACCTTGTTTGTTAAGTGTCAGCATTCTGACCGACATGAGCCGTCATCGTGCTCACGATCATTATAAAGTATGTATAAAACACATGCTTTTATGATTATTTACTTCATTTATCTTTTTTAATTACAAACTTAAATTACCAACATGTTTTATAGAGGTTCTATCTGATAATTTTATAACGAACTTAATTCAAATATTATCGTTTAAAGACTTATCATTTCAGCCTGACATTCCAGAGGCTAAGAATAAGCACAATTCCATCACTCACAGTGGGGATGGAGACAATAAAAAACTACAAGTACTATACAGAGTTTAATAGCGACTGCCCTTTAGTGTATTGCGTCCATTTACCTTATCAAATAAGAAAAAGGTCACCATGTTTAAAAAATCAATATTAACTCATAACAAATTAATTGCTATTTCAATTATGTTGGGATTTGGGTTAGTTTAATTTTGTTTTATTAATATTTTGAGTCTAAAGTTTATCTGTAGTACAATATGTTTATTTCTTAACGTAAATACATTAACTAATAACTGTCCTTCTGTAAAGAATTGTGTTTTTATGAAATTATTTTTTTCTATTCATTTCACAAAGTGATCTCCCTCTTTATTGTCATAATTTTGTTTTTAATTCATTGTTTCGATTGCCGCTCCTTTTAAGATAATATAAATGCTTGTCCACTTTTTGGAAATTCTTGATTCACCACTGAACATTATACACATATGTTTCTTTAATCCAGTCCCTCAATTTTCTCTTTTCTTGTTACTTTGTTATCTTCCCCTTCTCTTGTATGCTGTCTTTGCTAAAAGAGAGGCGAGAGATACCACAGGGATAATCAAACTCATAAGTTAAAAACGAACTGACAATTATCATGGCAAAACAAAAACGAACTGACAATTATCATGGCAAAACAAAAACGAACTGACAATATCATGGCAAAACAAAAACGAACTGACAATAGCATGGCAAAACAAAAACGAACTGACAATATCATGGCAAAACAAAAACGAACTGACAATTATCATGGCAAAACAAAAACGAACTGACAATATCATGGCAAAACAAAAACGAACTGACAATAGCATGGCAAAACAAAAACGAACTGACAATATCATGGCAAAACAAAAACGAACTGACAATTATCATGGCAAAACAAAAACGAACTGACAATATCAAGGCAAAACAAAAACGAAAAACGACCAAAAGACAAACAACAGCACATTTTCAAGTTAAATGTTAAAGGTTGTATAAGTGTATGTGTTGAGATAGTGCTTTTGCGTGATTTAAGAAGGGGTATGGTATATGTGCTGATTTATAGTATAAGAAAGAAACATGATTTTTATAGTTTGTTCTTGTGTTGTACTGTTACACCCTTGTCCCAGGTTAGGGGAGGGTTGGCGCGCCTTCAAACTAGTTTAACTCCGCCACATTCTGTATGTGCCTGTCCCAAGTTAGGAGCCTGTAATTCAGTGGTTGTTGTTTGTTGCTGTATGTCATATTTGTTTTTCGTTCATTATTTTGTACATAAATCAGGCTGTTAGTTTTCTCGTTTGAATTGTTTTACATTTGTTATTTCGGGGCCTTTTATAGCTGACTATGCGGTATGGGTTTTACTCATTGTTGTGTCCGTACGGTGACCTATAGTTGTTAATTTCTGTGTCATTTTGGTCTCGTGTGGAGAGTTGTATCATTGGCAATCATACCACACCTTCTTTTTTTTTATATTCGCTCTTTTTCAAACATCATTAATGTGTGTATTACTCATTAGTCTTAGGCCCTTAGAGTAACGTGAGCCTATGTCATTACTTGTCGTCCGTCGAAAACTTTAAACAAAATAGTCTTCTCCGAAAATGCAAAGCCAAATGTTTTGAAAGTTGGCAGTGATGATGTAAAGCTTCAACACTTCAAACGATCCTCATGTTGTTCCCTGTATCTGATAGAAAGCATGGTTCAGTATGATAGTGTACCGTATGGAAAGGAAAGATAAAATGTGGATTGGTTATGTACGGAATGATACGGTTACTGTGTGAACGATAAGATATGGTTTCTCCTTTTAAACTGGCAAGATATGACAGAAATTTTCAAAAAAGACTCCTAATTGGAATTTTGCCAATGTTTGCGTTTTCACTATTATCTTGTAAGTTGAGAGAGAGAGAGATGAAACGTAAATAAACTTGGGAGTCATTACCCTTAAATGACTATTTTCAATTTCTAGCTATTATTTTGAAAATTAAAGTAGACAAAGATTAATGTAAACAGCATTGTGTAAAACAGCAAAACTGATCAGCAAGATTAACCAACTTTTTAAGTCTAAGATGACCAAAATCATTAATCGATTTCCGCCATAGAAGTTATTACCCATTTTTTTATTTTTGACAACTTTCTTGGCAACTAAAATATGAAACGGTAAATAGAAGGAAAACATAAGTTGGTCTTGGTAATCCATAAGGTCCAAAATGAGCGTTTTAGGCTCCACGGAGCCTCTAGTTTAATACTAATAATAATATCTTTATTTAAGGAGAGTAACTCATTTGGATTAAACCAATTTTCAATAAGGCTCTCTACATACAATATCAACTACATGAATAAAACATAATCATATAAACAATAGATGTACATATACAAAAATATAACAACAAGAGGCTCTCAAGAGCCTGAATCGCTCACCTGTCAGTTTTTGCTTAAATCTTTCATCAATAATTATTTTTGCTTTTCAATATATACTAATGAATGGCTTAAAACTTCCATTGAAATGTTCTTTGTATCTGTCATATTTTCTTCAAAATCAGAGAAATGCATTTTACCCCTATGTTTCATTTTAGCCATAGTGGCTATGTTTCTTGACGTACAAGAAAATAAAATACAAAATTTATACTAGATACTCTGAAACTCATTCAGCCCAAGTTTGGCTGAAATCGATTCAGCAGTTTTAAAGGAGAAGATTTTTTGAAGTAAGCAAACTAAATGAACAAATTGTGAAAAATTTATTTTAAAGGGCAATTACTCCTTAAGGGGACAATTGACAATTTTGGTCATCGGAACTTATTTGTAGATCTTACTTTGCTGAACATTTTTACTGTTTACAGTTTATCTTTATCATTAATAATATTCAAGATAATAACCAAAATCTGCAAAACTTCCTTAAAATTACCAATTAAGTGGCAGCAATCCAACAATGGGTTGTTAGATTCATCTGAAAATTTAAGGGATGACAGAGCTTGACCTAATAAACATTTTTATTTCTATCAGATTAGCTCTAAATGCTTTGGTTTTTGAGATATAAGCCAACATTTTGCATTTCACCCCTACGTTCTATTTTTAGCCATGGCAGCCATGTTTTTTTACGAAACAGAAAATAAAACACAAACTTTATTCTAGATACCCTTAAAATCATTCAGCTTAAGTTTGGTTGGAATTGGTTCAGTAGTTGCAGAGAAGAAAATTTTTTAAAGTTAGAAAACATGATAAACAAATTGTGTAAAATTGTCCTTAAAGGGCAATAACTCCTTAAGGGGTCAATTGACAATTTTGATCATATGAACTTATTTGTAGATCTTACCTTGCTGAACATGTTTGCTGTTCACAGTTTATCTTTATCATTAAAAATATTCAAGATAATAACCAAAAACTGCAAAATTTCCTTAAAATTACCAATTTAGTGGCAGCAACCCAACAATGGGTTATCAGTTTCAACTGAAAATTTCAGGGCTGATAGAACTTCACCTAATGAATACTTTAACCCCATGTCAGATTTGCTCTAAATGCTTTGGTTTGTGAGATATAAGCCAAAAACTGCATTTTACCCCTACGTTCTATTTTTAGCCATGGCGGCCATGTTATTTGACGAAACAGTAAATAAAACACAAATTTTATTTTAAATACCCTAAGCATCATTCAGCTTAAGTTTGGTTGGAATTGGTTCAGTAGTTTCAGAGGAGAAGATGTTTGAAATAGTTTACACCAGACGGACAACGATGGACAACGACGGACGCCAAGTGATGGCAAAAGCTCACAGTTCCTTCGGAACGGTGAGCTAAATATAATACACCTATAGTATACATTGAACTCATAAATTTCACACTGTTAAAAATATTATGACTTGTAAGAGTATTTGAATGCAGATACAGTTTTTGATTTTTTTAATTTCACTGGATAGTGAATTTCACACTTTTGGACCACTAAAAGAAAAACTTGATTTGTATAATTCTGTATTTGATTTAGGGATAATAAAATTATCTGATGATGAAAGTCGAGTATTGTATGATTGTTTACAATTTGTAGGCACAATAAGATTTGATAAATATTTTGGTGCCAGTTCATGTTTTTACTTATACATTAATAATGACTTGTGGTAAGGTATTCTCTTGGTAACGGGAATAATTCCAGAATCCTTAAATAATTCAATAGATGGCAACACTTGCGTTTTAATAGTCCGTCTAATTTAATATAAATTAAAACCAATAGACCTTCTTTAACCAATCGTTGAAAGACTTTTCGGATATGAATACAGAAAATGATAATTCCACCAACATTAAAAGCATTTCGAATTATAGATCCTAACTTTCACAAATTTTACATTTTACATCACCCCAGTTTTTGGTGGGCTTCGTGTTGCTCAGTCTTTAGTTTTCTATGTTGTGTTTTGTGTACTATTGTTAGTCTGTTGGATTTTTCTTTTTCAGCTATGGAGTTGTCAGTTTATTTTCGACCTATGAGTTTGAATGTCCCTTTGGTATCTTTCGCCTCTCTTTTATCACGGGATCCCATAGTCAGTTGTATTTTTTATCACGGGATCCCATAGTCATTTGTATATTTAATCACGGAATCCCATAGTCAATTGTATATTTTATCACGGGATCCCATAGTCAATTGTATATTTT